TGTCCAGTAAGGATTGGTGTCGTCAGTTTTGACGACGGGGGATTTCTCAGCAGAACGTACAATGGTCAACTTTATATCGCTACCAAGTTTTTGGATTCTTTCTTTCAGCTGGAAATATATCTGATTTTTGGCAAGAGGCAGTTAAAGTCGAATATCTGATGAAATCAATGTTCCATCTGAAACCATCACTTTATCAAAATCCGATCTCAGAATTGAAATACGGCATCGAAAAACATGGTCCGTGGGCGATCTTAATATTTTTGTACTCCGTTATAAAAACAAATTTCGGAAAGAACCCAGTACATTCCAAGGTTGACTTTTCGTCTGGATTAAATGAAAGTTAAGTTTAAACAACATGAAGCGTAGTTTACGAGGATTACTTTTATATACTCCTCGTTTATATGAAAAATAATTGTTTCACTGTTTTATAAATACCTCATCAAACACTTCGGATACTGTCGATCTGGTTGACGGATTGATGTAGTAACGAAGAGTTATACGGCCTGGCAGCACACTATCTGTCAGGGCGCCCTGGAATGTGCGCCATTTAAAATTATATTAATCTTAAATGTAACATAAATAATTTAGGACCAAAAAGGCCATAATAGTTTGGAAGTTCAAGGTATAAATCATTTTCTTAGTCTAAAATCTAAAACGACAGATTCTTTGTGATGTGATTTTAACGTAATAGAAACATTCTTTTGATATAATTTTTCATTAGGTATTAAACTGAATTAAGCTATAATAGTTTATAAGGGAAGATTGGATCTACAACTGACCTGTAATCTGTTCAAGTTGATGCTGGTAAAGTCGCCGGTGTTGCTGACTTGCAACTTCTTCATGTAATCAATTTGCTCGTCTCGATACTCTTGTAATGATTCGATCACTTTCGCGCACTGTAAATACACAAATATCAAAAATGATAAATTATTTCTATCAAATTTCAATGTACGATGAAAATGAAGATTTTCTTTACTACGCCGATTACCTTATAAGTTTTTAAGGCGATCAAATAACATTGCTATAATTCGTTTCGAGGTTTGAAAAAGATTGATATCTGCAAAAAGTATTGTGTCTTTTTTTTCGAACAGAATGAGAAAAACTTTTTTGTTTGACTCATAAGAAAACAGGTGTTGTAATTTTAGGTTTTCTTAGTTAAATACCTTTCCTA